GTAGATGAAACTCTAAATTCAACCATTTTGGCTCTAAAAGAGAAAGGATTAGAGATATCCCCTGAAAAGATTCAAAAGGAAGCACCCTGGAGGTATCTCGGACTACAAATTACTGTGAAAACTATCAAGCCTCAATCAGTTTTAATTGACAAAAGGTCCGAACTTTGAATGACCTCCAAAAGTTACTGGGAGCAATTAATTGGATTCGGCCTGTGCTGGGGATTTCAACCGGAGACTTGCACCCCTTATTTGAGCTGCTAAAAGGAGATGCTGACTTGTCCTCCCCCAGATTCTTAACACCAGAATCAGAATTAGCCCTTGCCACTGTCGAAAGGAAAATATCAGAAAGACAATCCTGCAGGAAGATGGAGGGACTGCCATCTTCCTTAGTTATTATTCGTGAACAGAGACAGCCACTAGCCCTCCTGGGCCAGTTCACTGACGACAAGAAAGACTTCTGCTTGTGGGAGTGGGTATTCCTCCCTCATCAATTCTCCAAAACAATTACAACAATTGCAGAAATGATTGACAAATTAATTTTCAAAGGTCGCACCAGGTGTTTAGAACTCAGTGGAGAGGAACCAGATTTTATCTACCTCCCACTGACTTCTGAACACCTGGAACAACTGCTGCAGAAATCCATTGATTTTCAGATCGCCATCGGGGGTTACCCGGGAGAAGTCAAATTTCACCTCCCAGCGTGCCCATTTTTACAAAGACTTATTCAGATTCCACTAATATTAAAAACTGTGCAATCAAACCTCCCAATTAAAAATGCAAAAACAGTTTTTACCAATGGGTCTGGGAGAACCGGAAATGCGGTCATTGTTTGGAACGAAAATGGTAATTGGCTTCAAGACATTCATAAAGTTCAAGGTTCTCCACAAATCGTAGAATTGTCAGCAGTTGTTCGCGCCTTTCAAATTTTTGATAAGGAACCGATCAATATTGTTTCAGATTCGGCGTATGTTGTGGGCGTAGTAAAAAGGATTGAAAATTCGTATTTAAAAGACGTGTCCAATGAGAATCTTTTTAAGCTGCTAACAAATTTGTTGTTTTTAATTGAAAATAGAGAATTTGGCTATTACATCGTCCACATGAGGTCGCATACTACTTTGCCCGGTCCTGTGGCAGAGGGAAACCAAATCGCCGACCATCTGGCAGGTATGGTTGTCACCCCCAATTTATACCAACAGGCAAAAATCTCCCACGAATTCTTCCACCAGAATGCGCGGTCACTACAAAAACAATTCGGTCTCAAATTGGCACAAGCAAAGGAAATTCTAAAAATGTGTCCTGACTGCCAAATGATTACTCCATTGGTTCCGGAAGGAACAAACCCTAGAGGTTTAACTGCATTAGAGATTTGGCAGTCAGATGTCACACATGTGGCTGAATTCGGCAAATTAAAATATGTACATGTGTCTATTGACACTTTTTCAAAAATGATTGTGGCCACCGCGCATTCTGGTGAGAAAAATAGGGATGTTAAAAGACATTTTCTGTCCGCATTTGCTAGGATGGGTGTCCCCAAACAGATCAAAACCGACAACGGACCCTCCTATGTATCTGCGGACACGAAAAAATTCTTTGAAGAATGGGGGGTGCACCATACCACTGGGGTCCCTCACAATCCCACAGGACAGGGCATAGTAGAGTGAGCCCATCAGAATATCAAAAATTTGCTCAAAAAACAAAAAAGGGGGAGTATTGGCCTAAGCCCCCAAGAGAAATTGGATAAGGTAATGTATGTTTTAAATTTTTTAAATTTGATGGAGGAATCAGAAACTCACACAAGCAGAAATCCTGTCGACCGACATTTTAAATCAGATTCTTCCCCATGAGAACAGAAAGCAAAAATTATGTACAAGGACCCAATAACGGAGATATGGACGGGCCCTTTCCCCCTGATCACATGGGGGAAAGGGTACGCCTGTATTGCAGGTGACACCGGACCAAAGTGGGTCCCTGCCCGCCGGATTAAGATCTTCCAAGGCTAAAGGAAAAGAACACCCATGCATATGTCTCACCTCTTCTTGATCATCGGCATAGGACTCGTCCCTCTCTGCACCACGATACCGCTGCGGGAGTGGATGAGTCAACCTGCAGAAAATCTATGGGTAACGCTGGCCAAGGCCACTGGCATGGACACCTTGTGCCTGGCCTTGACCAGCGCAGGCAGTCCGTTTAGGACGTGCCTGGTAGGGATCCCAATCACTCCACCGGAATGGGATACGTTCGTGTCTCAAACACGAATCAGAGGACCCCTGCCACTTAATTCCCCCAATCTAGCGCAGACCATATCAGCACTTACCTTTGTTGACATCCCATTCCAAGAAATTGATCTCCTCGGTTCCCTACCCTCTATGACTTGTGTTATTTTTCATAGGTATACCCAGCCAGTTTTATTTACACCCCATGATGTGACTCCCTACAAATCCATCTATCAAGGGACCACTTCGCCGTGGTGCAACAATTCGACAGCCACCACCATACCAACGGAGCATATACCCAGAAACATGCGACTTCCAAAAGGGTATTTCCTGCTGTGCGGAGATCGGGCGTGGCCCGGCATTGGCCCACAGCGTTGACCCACACCTCTGCCCTTCCCAGAGGACTGTGATTCCAATATTCACATTTGGTCTCGTGTGAAGAACTTCTGGGCGTCCTTCCCTATCCCCGGGATAGGAACAGCCCATGCCCTGTCCCTACTGACCCACCTCGGTTGTTGGCTGACAAAAGAGGCCAATGCCACAACCAAGGCAATAGAAGGTCTACTAGCGGACACGCAAAAATTGAAGGAAGTCAGTTTACAAAATAGAGCGGCTATTGATTTTCTCCTCTTGGCACATGGCCACGGGTGCCAAGAATTCGAGGGGATGTGTTGTATGAATTTTTCCGATCACTCTCAATCTACCCATGAGAGTATCCATCAGCTAAAAACATTGGTCGGAGAAATTCATCAGTCCAAAAGCGAAGGCTTCAATGATCTTTTTGATTGGCTAAAGCTTCCTTCTCTAACCAAATGGTCTAGAAAAATCATCATTATGTGTGTATTATCCTTATTTGTTCTTGTTTCTTTGTGTACCTTTTTACCCTGTTTTATTATTTGCCTCCGTAAGTTGCTGGTTTCCACCATAACCGCGAACATCGCTGCTGCTTCAAAAAACAAAGAAGGGGGAGATATTGGAGGAGGAGAGATGGAGTGGGAAAAATATGAAGCTTGAAGAAAGATTTATGACCCCTAAATGGACACTTTTGTACCAGATTGGACACTCTTATACTGGATATGACATTCCCTGGACTTGACAGTTTTACTCCACTTTTCCCCAGTTTATTATTATATTGTTATATGGTTGTGTGTACCCCCAGTTGTTGTTTTTAAATTTATCCTCCATATTGTCTCCTTCTTCCCCTCATAGTTTTCCGCCTTAACCCTGTTTTCCCGCTCCTCTGCCTGCCATTGGCTGATCTTTGGTGCAGTGCAGAGGCAGCTACCATTGGCCCATTTCCCCAGCTACACCCAAACTCCTCCCCTCCTTACCCAGTTACCCAATCACATTCATCCCTGAGTTGCCAATCTTATACTCCTCCCTAGCCCAAACTCCACCCCTA